TGTAAAGTTTAGAACACTGCCTTGTACCTAAGAAGTAATTAAGCAATAATTCTTGGAGCATTCAATCTATTGACTGTAATTATTGACGAGAAGCAACTGCCATTTCATGATTTGTTGTGTGCGTGTCCCTGTGTGTCTTAAGCCTTCTTAGTCCTTTACTACTGCTTGCTTAAACATAAACAGGCTGAGAGGAACACTGGTAGCATAGAGGGTCATGTGTTGGTCAGCAGTTTGAAACACCATCCACACCACAGGAGAATGAGGAAGCCTTCTACTCCTATAAATGGTTATGGTCTCAGAAAACCACGAGGATAGTTCTACGCTGTCCTATAAGGACACTGTGAGTCGGAATTGACTCGACAGTGAGTTTGGTTGGTTTTACTGTTTGCTTTAAGTAGCCCTGATGGTATAGTGATTACACATTTGGCTGCTAACCCCAAGGTCAGCAGTTCAAAGCCTCCAGCTTCTCCTCAGATTTCTGCTCTGTAAAGCTTTGAAAACCCAAAGGGGCAGTTCTTTTCTGCCCTGTAGGGTCCCTTTGAGTTTGAGTTCCCTCAGGGTGGGTGAGTTTTGAGATGTGTTGTTGGTTGATTGTAGAAGGCGGTTTGGGTTCCTTTCTTTTCGTCGATGTTTTCAGGTATTTACTCATCGGTTGCTATGAATATTACATCCAACAGCTTGTAGTAAGTTGGTACCCACTTAACTTCAGTAATATTGTAAATTCAGTAAATTCAGTAAGTTGGTACCCACTTAACTTCAGTAATATTGTAAGTTCAGTAAATTCAGTAAGTTGGTACCCACTTAACTGCAGTAATATACAAGGAATTCTATATTGAAACTAGTCCTCTTCCCCTATGTTGTAGTTTTCACTAATTACATCTTTATAGTGCATTGACCTGATCACATGATTTTATCTTTGTTTTTTACATAGTTGTTGTGAAAAAGCATGAAGGACAAAACAGTTTTTGTTTGTTAGGCTTGCCCATAAACACATTGCTATCAAGCTGACTTCAATGCAGAGTGGCCCCATAAGACAGAGTAGACTACCCTGCATGCTTCCAAGGGAATATATTTTCACGGGTGAAAACTGCCGCACATTTCTCCCGTGAAGCACCTGGTGGGTTCAACCCGCTCACTTTTTGGTTAGTCGCCAAGTGCTTTAACCACTGCACCACCAGAGCCCTGCAGTTCCTGTCATTAGAGTTCTTTCTTTTTATGTAGCTTTGAATTCCTTCTGATTGCCTTCCCATCTCGGCAGAATCCCTGTGAGTATTTCGGTAGGGCCAGACTGGTGGATATGCTTCTTTTTACCTGGACATGCTTGAATCTGACGCTCATTCTTAAAGGACTACTTCGCTGGGTGTAGTATTCTTAGCTCACAGCTGCTTTCTTTCAGAACCTTGCGTACATCATCGCAGTGCTGCCGAGGAGAGGCCAGCACTTAATCTCATTGGAGATTCTTTCCGTGTGATTATTTCTTTCTTGTTGCTTTCAGAAGTCTCCCTTTCTCTTTACTGTTTGAGAGGTTAACCAGGGCGTGTCTTGATGTAGATCCTTTAGGTTTTCCCTGCACGGTTTGCAGATTTGTGCCTTTTGTTAAGTTGTGGAAATGTTTTGTCATTGTTTCTGCAAATATTCTTGTTCCCCTCTCTCTCATCTCTATGATGCATATATTAGGTCTCTAGTTGTCCAAACCATAATGGTAATTACAGGGCAGGGGCGGGGTGGGGTGGGGTGAAGAATCATTCGCCTTCTCTGCAGATGGGCCCACAGTTCCCAAATCATCGACACGAATGTGAAAATGGCTGCTTACGTAGCGATGCGTGCATACTGCTAGACACCATTCCAGATGAAGTATTAATTTTGGGGGGGGTTTGATATCTGTATTTGATTAAAATGAATTTATAATATTAATTTCAAAGGATTTCCTTTGAAAGGATCCAAAATTTCAAATTACCTTTAAAATATTTATTTAACTATTAACTTTGTCTCTCCTTTCAAAACAATACATCCATTGTAGTAACCAAGGCCAAACAGCTAGTGGCTACGGAGTCCGTCCGGTTGATGCTCCCGTGTGTGTTAGTATCTGCACCACGTGGTCCGGGCTGCGGCCTCTTCCGAGAGGAGAAGGGAGACGTCTGTGCTCATGTCTTCAAGCAGGGAAAAGTGGGGCACGAAGTCTAAGGCCCAACTCTTACTTTCTCTTGGTGAAAATCGTTTAAAAAGTGTGACCAGTTTGGTGACTTGCTGTCTGCGAATGCGTGCGAGGACTTGGGGCTTGTCTGTTTTGCACTGACAGCCTTTGGGTGAGGACAGTCCATTGGAGCTCGGTGGAATTCCACACGAGAGTCGGAATCACAACCAACTCTGGGAGCGCATTCCCAGCGCTCTCGCTCGCTGCGCTCAGTTGTGACACCCCCATCAAAAATCCATGAACTGTTTAGGAAAGGGTTGACAAGATTTTTCAGCAAGCTCTTAAAGATGACATGTGAATACTTGTTTGATGATAAGAAAACAGGCAACTTTAGAAATCCAGGTGGACCATAATATTGCTTGGGCAGCCCTTTTCCAAAGACAGGAAATGAAAGGGAACAGCAATTAGTTTTATTAATGGAAATATTATTGATTTCATTTCACTGACAAAAATAATCCCTAACTGAAATACTTGCTGACACCATAAGATTTTGCAGCCATATATTTCTTAGAGTTATATGGATACGCATTGAGTCGAACTTCAAAGACTCTTGCTATCAAGATTGTAGCCCTCCCTGTATGTTTTATTTATTTGACTATGAGATAAACTTCCGTGAGAGTTCTGGTAAACCTTGTCGGGACTGTACTCTAATATTAGGCTATTCTAATCAATAAACAGATAGAAGGACCACTTTCTCCCAACAAGAAAAGACAAAGAAAGCAGGTGACGTAGCTCATTGTATTGGATATGTTTATTTACTAATGGTCACTTCACTTTGCTTAAGCACACGCTCATTAGGGGGGCTCACATCTTCTGTGACACCCTGGCTATAGCTCAGCCTCTCTAGTAAGCTTATTCATGCCTGCTCACTTCCCGGCACTAAAAATTAATTTTCATGGCTTCTGTGCCCTCAATTCTGTCACCATTGCATTGTCTCAAACTGCCAGCTGAGACCCGGGGCAAGGACTTCACTAATACAGACATCACCGCAGTGGCCATGTAGCACAGCACCCTTGGCTTTGAAGGATGTGTTAGCAGCAGTGCTCATCATAATAAACCTTTACATCTCTTGGATACTTGTAGCAAGAAATAAAGTACACGTTACCATGTGAACAGTAAGAGAAGATTCTTACTCATTGCCAGCAAGCAAATCCCAACTCATAGTGAACCTGTAGGACAGCGTAGAACTGCCCCCTAGGGTTTCTGGGGGTGTAAATCTTTGGGGAAGCAGACTGACCTGTCCTATAGAGTGACCGGTGGGTTCACACTGTGAGTAGCGGCCGAGTGCTTACCCACTGTGCCACTAGTGGGAGAAGGCTATTACTATACTTATGTGGATGTCATGCTCTAATTTAAAACACAGTGTAATCAATTTAGTCCACAAAGTTAACATGAGACCAGAATCAGCTCTTTTGAGCTTCCCTAGTTGAAGAAAATCTGTAATAATGGTTAGATACTATATCCATGGTTTTAAAATTCCTTTTCCTTCTGAATGTAGGCTGTAAAAACTGAACCTGAGAAGGCACAATTAACTAAGGTAAGTAATCAAAACCTCTAGTGTGTTATTTGGAATTTGAGGGGGATAGGAATAGCCACTTACCTACATTGGTAGTTATTGAGTTAAAAGGAATTTCTTGTCAGCTAATGAAATCGTTTTTAGGCTATTTTAAATACAGTTATTCAGAGAGTATAAGACATAATTGTAATATGAAATCTG